AAATACGCTACAGTAAATTAAAACTATATTAAAACATTACTAAAAATATTTTGTCCCCCCCCCTGGAAAGTTAATTGATTTTATTTTGCCCCCCCCCCCTAGAAAGTTTTCTGCGGGCGCCCATGGCCGACTACTTAAACCTGTATGCCGAAACTCATCTACCAAACCAATTTATGCGTTGTGATCACTCCACACTTTCACCCAGTTCAAATCATCAGCGAGGTAGCTGTAAATAATTGTAGCAAATCACTGGAAAATGGTTTGCAAATGTGCAGTAAATTAATTGGAAAATGGTTGTAAAATATGAGACTGCATTCAAGCTTTGTGAATGAAATAGTAAAACAAGGTCTGTTGAAGCTTGAATCAAAAGGCAGGTTAATATCCTACTTCAGGCAACCAGAAAGGAGATCACTAAAAAAAATTTTTTTTTTTATTTTTTTTTTACTGTGCTCTGTTTCTTGTCTTACGTCTATTTGTCTTGTTCGCTGAAGAAGATGGCTCTAACTGAGCCAAAAGGTTCACACATTATTGTCCTGTCTGTTGATTTAAGCTTCAAAAATACTTTGTTATATTATCTCTTTAGGGCTTTATAAAACTATTCCGTTTTAAAACTGTTCTCAAACAAAGGAGTCTTAATCCACTGTTAAGGAACCCGTGAGTTTTATTTATTTAAAAAAAAAAAAAATTATAAACAAACGTCCTTGGCATTTTAAGTTTAAGCCGGAATTTCTATGTTGTCTTCTTGTACTTCAAAAACTTTTTTTTTTTTTTTTCGTTTCACAAATCTGATCGTTATTTTCTACTTTCCAACCCTATTCACATTGACCCGGTCAATGATATGGTCTCGCAGCGCTAATTTTGAACCGTCTACCAGGCAGATTACGCTCACGACGTTGGACCAACGTCTGCCGACTGCGCGAATGACAGCTCCCGGAAAACATCATTAGGAGGTTGACATGAGATGGCCATTGAGGGGGAAAACGGTGGAGATTTCTCACCAAATTTCTTCTGTCTTCTGTCTTGAGGTTTCTTCCCCTACTAAAAAATGAACCCCATATCATATTGATGATGGTTTTTGTTGGTGACCCAGGAAACGCAAAGTTTTAGTGATCAAGGAGTTCAAAACTTTTCAAGCCTTTTTTAAAATTTTTATTATCGGATGATTGTTTTCAGAATTTTCACGATTCAACGAGGGATTGACCTACTTCGACACAGCCTTGACCCTTGCGGTCCCATCGGTTCTTGTATTCCTCTTCATGTGCGGCATCTTCAGCTCGCTGCTGGCCGCCTACAGGAGGAACCGACGCATGAAGAAACTAGGTAAGTGGGTTGGTGAACTTATTCTTGGGCTTGGATCATCCCATCACGTGATCTCTAACCCGTTTTGTACACAGAGCGTGTTATCATATCCCCGCGAGTGGGTTGGGATAATCTCATCACGTGATCTCTAACGTGTTTTGTACAATGAAGCGTGTTGTCATATCCCCCACCATTGGGTTGGGATAATCCCATCACGTGATCTCTAACGTGTTTTGTACAATGAAGCGTGTGGTCATATCCCCCGCCATTGGGTTGGGATAATCCCATCGCGTGATCTCTAACGTGTATTGTACAATGAAGCGTATGGTCATTTCTCTGCCATGTGAATGTGCTGCAGCGATGAACACTCATTAATCGAATGTAACAAACAACAACTCGGTTACACTCTGAAAATATATTCAGAGATCCGACATTTTCATTGGTCCATTGATTTTTTTTTCAAGTATTTTTCGTGTTCCAAAAACTTAAACGTAGTATACATATATTAGTCCCTGGAGTCCCTGGAGTTCCCTCAGTATAACAATATGTTACAGAAATCAAATTTAACTTCAGTTCAAAATAATGTAACAGATGTCTAATGTTACTTCAATATAAAATAACTAAACGCAACATCATAGCGTGATTAAGGTCTAGGAATCGAATACCCGTAATTAGGATGTACTCACTGCTGACGAATATGTCACGAAAGGATTTGTAGGCGCGTCATCTGAACTACAAGGCCATTCGCTCAGATAAGTATTTCATTAAGAAATCAGATTGGACAATTCCATTCTCGTTCAAGATGGATGTCCTTGACAGAAACCCTTTAGTCTAATCAAGAACTGGGGAAAAAAAAAAAGTTCAAAAAGTATAAAAATAGAAGTCTTTATAAGTACGCGGAACGACGTATTGGTAGGAAGTGACGTAGATGAAGTCTTTTGTGGGCCAAGGTAGTCTTTAATTAATTTAATCCGCACATTTCGACCATTGGCTCGTTCAAAAGTTCTAGTGATTCTTCTGGGCGCGCTTCGAGTGCGCCGAAATTAAAAGGTTTTCCCATTTCCCATTATACTCTCGAGAGCAAAGCGCTGAGACTATGAAATTTCGTTCTTTTTCTGGAAAAAAGGGGGGGGGGGTCGAGTGGCTACGGGGGCGAAGAGAGATCTTTCTGTATTCAATGACTCGAGAAAGTGCAAACGCCAATTTGGAAATTGAACAGCAATTTGAAATGGGCAGGCTGCTGCTGCTGCTGCTGCTGGTGGTGATCAGACTTGTTGAAGTGGAGATAATGGAGGGCGAAGGTGGGATGGGAGTGGAGGGGGCGGGGCGGACAAAAATGATTAAGCTCTTATACGACCATAAAATAAAAGTACACTTTTGAACTTTTAGGATTTCCACCAAACTATGTATTGTGACCAATAAAAACATAACTATAATTAAATTTTTTATAGAGAGCATTAAAAATTAATAGGTTTGAAATTAAAATGGCTTTTTATTTTTTATTTTTTCCCCCTTCTTTTTTTAAAGGCGTAAATCTGACAAGAAAATAAAAATATTCTGATTTTCAAAAAGAAGTCCCTATCCAATTGTTCAATTTTGTAAAATTTTATATAGACAGTAACCAGTATACTAATACTATTCTACAAGCCAATGTTTCTGTCTTTTGTTGTACCAAAAGAAGCTGGTGTCATATCCGTCATCGAGTCTACTGGCAAAAAAAAAAAAAAAAAATTCAATTTCAATAGACGGCATTGCCGAATATCCGAGTCCTTCCTAAGTGTTGCACTTTCTTAAGTACATTTTAATACATTTTGATTTAAA